GCCACTTTTTTTAGATTGAAAAAAGTTTTATAATTGAATATGATCTTCAACAGCAGTGTGTACGTATGTTAAATATTTACGGTGAATATAAATAACGCGGTTCTACTGTTATAATTCAGGATATTTAACCTAATAATAAAAGAATAAATATTGACCTAATACGATCAGTGATTACATATTATTATTAGACTCTCACACACTTTTGAGCGTGCACTTTGTACACACTTACAGGTCACTTTAATATCATCGATATCATCATGTTAAATCTCCTGTATAAATGTCCTTAAAATACGACCGATTACAGACCCCTTTAAAACTAAAATTAATTTGTGATCAAATAATTTAAGTTCTAACTAGGTATAATATACTTCAAAAAAAGGATATAATTAAAGGATTTATTTGTTAGTTACAATAATCTTACCCCTACGTTCAGCTTCTTCCTTAGATATCTCTATTAAAATATAAAAATGTAATTAAATCAAAATTATAGACATTATCAGGCAGCTACTAACACAGTGGCCAACTGCAATGTTGTGTGGTAATGAAAAAAATATTTACTGCATATTATTCAGTGTAATCACACGAGAACTTTATCCGGTCATTGTTGAAGAATATACATGTTTTGGAATTAATTTAATTGATTTGAACAACTAAGTATAACACTATTTTCAGTATCCCCACCCCCTTTCACTAGAAATTACTTAGTGGATATATTTTGTTCCTAATTCAAAACAGAAAGAATTTCCCTTTAAGACTTAAATAAATTTGTGATCAAATTCTTAAAGTTCTAATTAGTTCTAATATTCTTAAAAAAAGAATGTAAATAAAAATATTTATTTGTTAGTTACAATAATCTTACCCTTATTTTCACCATTATTCTTATGCGACACTATTAAATTTAAAAATAATTAAATCAAAATTATAATTGAATAGATTTGCCATAAGAAATGTATTACTTGAATGATTCACTAATCTCTTATAGTCTCGATTGGGTCATACGGATAGCGATTAGTTCCCACTCCACTGGAAGTGAAGACCACACATGTCTCCACTTGGCAAAGAGCCAAGAAGGGTAGTTTCATGCATACAATGATATATTTTATACATATTTAAATAGATCAAAATATCCTCCTACTACCCACTTGATGAGCATTGACAAAGACCTTGAGGTCGTTTCAATGAACAAATGCAGACTAACACCTTGGCCAATTGCAATGTTGTTTGGTAATGAAAATAAATATTTAACGCGTATTCAGTGTAATCACATGAGAGCTTTTTCCTGTCTTTGTTGAAGAATAGACATTTTTTGGAATTAATTCAATTGATTTGAATAACTAAGTATAACAATATATACCATTATTTCTTCATCATAATTTCTATCCTTAGTGTAAGATCTAGCTCTGATCTTATGGCTTTTAAACCAAATAGCCAGACAAAGGTAAAAGTTTGATTTTTCGGATTTTGATTTTAAAAACAAATTATGATTGATGAAGAAGTGTAATAGATTTAAATAGATATGATTTTTAATATTACGAATATCGTTAGTGTCATGATGAATAATATTATTATTAAAATATTATATTATATTTTTATTCATAGATATCACAGCTAGCTGAAAATAGATATTCAAATTTCAAACACCTCTTTAATAACCTAGTAAGCTAGTTAATCAATTTAAATAATTTTTAAAAATTTGAATCCGTCAAACCAAATTTCATCCGTTTTGTCTGACTATTTGAACAAACAGACACTTTTTTTAAATTCGAAAAATGTTTATCCAATTTAATATAATCGTCAATACATGCACATAGTATGTATGTTAACTATTTAGGGTAAATATAAATAATGCCCGCCTACTGTTATAATTCAGTACATTTCTAGAAATTACTGACCAAAAAGGATTACATATGAGACTTACACACACTTATAAGCGTTTACTTTACACACACTTAAAAGTCACTTTGATGTCATCATGTTAAATTGCCTATATTATTTTTATTAAAACAAGACCGACTGAAGCCCACTTAAAAACTAAAATTAAATTGAGATCAAATAATAAAAGTTCTTATTAGGTCTAATATGTATACTTCAAACAAAGGACGTAATAAAAATATTTATTTGTTAATTACAATAATCTTACCTTTAATTAAACCATTGTTGTCATACATAACTATTAAATTAAAAAAAAAATTAAACAACAATTATATAATGCAATGCTTGAATAGATTTACCATAAGAAATTGATAACTATTGAATGGTTCGCTAATCAGTAATCTCTTATGATCCAATCACCAAATCTCACTAAATACTTCATATTATGTACTTTTTAAGATATTTTCCTAACAACTTAAATAATTTATAAATACGACAAGTCGACTTTCAAATGGAAATCGACCCCAATTAAATGTTGATTAGGAGTATTATGGTTTATGTGCAATTGTCAATTGGGATAACGGTTATTAATAGGGATCAAAATGCCGGAAAATTTCTTGAAAACTTCGGGAAAACTTCGGAAAAAAATTTTGAATGAAACCAAATTTCCCAATTTTTAGGAAAAAAACTGGAAAAAAAACCAGGGTTTTTTTCGGAAAACCTTTTTTTTTGGAAATTTTCCCTAGTTTTTAATATTAACCATTATTAATCCACAATATACCTACATCAAGCTTTTAATTCTTTTTAAATACTAAACAATGATTTTTTATTCTTCTTTAGATCTCACAGAAAACTTGTTAATAAATTTAAACCAGTTTTAAAAACGTAATTCCGTTAAACCAAATTATTTCAGATTTGTCTGACTTTTTTTTCAAACTGTCACTTTTTTTAGATTGAAAAAAGTTTTATAATTGAATATGATCGTCAATAACTGTGAGTACGTATGTTAAATATGTACGGTGAATATAAATAATGCGGTTCTACTGTTATAATTCAGGATATTTCTAGGAACTATTGACTTAATACAATTACATACTATTAAACTCGCACACACTTATGTGCGTTCACTTTGCACACATTTACAAGTCACTTTGATGTCATCAGGTTAAATCGCCTATATTAAATTCCATATAACACGACACCCCAAGTAGCCCCTTCAAAACTAAAATTAATTTGAAATCAATAATTTTTAAAGTACTTATTAGGTCTAATGTAATCAAAAAAAAGTATCTAATAAAAAGATGTATATTATATTAATGACAATGATCTTGCCTTGAAGTTCACCTTTTTTCTGATAGAACGCTATCAATTTTAAAAATACTTAAATTAATATTACATAAAACTTTGTTTGAGTAGATTTCCTATAAGAAATGTATAACTAAAATGGTTCAGTAATACCTTATGATCCAATCACTAAATCTTACTAAACATTTCATAATGTACTATTTAAGATGGTTTCCCAATTAATATAATAATTTATAAACATGACACGTCGACTTTCAAATGGAAATAACTCAAATTAAATATTGATTAGGAATTTATTGTTTTTGTGAAATTTTCAATTGGGATGTTGATCATTGATATCAAACATTCTTATTACAAAATATACATCAAACTTGAATTCTTTTTAAATTCTTAATAGTCTTTTTTTCCCCTTTTTCCGCTTTTTTCTTCTGGTTTTTCTAGCCACTAGGACCATCAGGCCCGTCTCACAGCCAATATTCTAAACCCATCTAATTTCAGAGTCTTCCAATTTGATCCGCCTTCTACTTATCTCCATATTTTAAAATATACTTCAAAATAAGAATGTAATAAAATTAAGTATTTATTAATTACAATATCCTTACCACTCAATTTCCGACACTCCTCTACAAAAGCTATACAATTTTAAAATGATTAAAATAAAAATATATAGAACAATTCTTTCATTGATTAGTGGAGTGGTTCTCTAATCTTTTATGATCCGATCATGGGCAACTTAATATCACTAAACATTTTATACATGGTATTTTTAAGATACTTTACTAATAACTAATAGCTTATACCTAAAATAATTTATGAATGTGAAAAGTCGACTTACAAACCGTAATCAACATTAATTAAATATTGATTCAGAATTTATTGTTTTCGTGACATTTTCTGTTTGGACAAATTTCTGTTTTTCAAATTTAGTAGATCAAAGTGTATAAAATAGATTTTATATTGGAACTAGTTATTAAGTTATTAAGCTTGGGACATTTTTACAAATTATTTATGTTCATATATTAATATTCATGACTAAATTATCAATTCATATTAACTCTAAATCTTATACTAGAATTACCATGGACCTTTATCCTTAGAACAAAAAGTTAATTAACTCTATTTACAACTATTCGTATGTATTTTAATTCAGAAAAATAATCCAATAGATTATTTACAGTTAAAAAGGTGGGTAATTATTTGAAAAAAAAAACAGAGGTTTTTAACTACACAGAACACTGCGGTTTGAGTAGTACAAAATATCTCAAGAATTTGAAAATATACTTTTTAAGTAGGTATATAAATATATTACAGAAATCAAATTTTTAATAACTGCATTATTGAAGCAAAACAAGTGGGTTATCATGATTACACTATATATTATGTAGTGTAGTACCATGTGGTATGGTACTATCTACTTTATACTATTATATTATGTGGGAATATATTTTATCAATTAAGTAATTAATATGGGTCAGACACTCAGACCATATATTATTATCATATTATCAGACATATAACCTTATATACTCAAAGCTTTAAAAAATAGTAACATATATGAGTTAAAAATATTTTTAGGCCGGTAGATATTACACCGTTTTGCAACTTCTTAAAAAACTAAAAAAAAAAAGTGCTTGTTGCAAGAACGCACGTATGAAGTGAAACTACTTTAATAAGGGTACGAGAAAAAAATTAGTGACGTGACCGACAGGTTGGAATAACAGTTCGGATCCATCACAGATGACGACATGTTTAAATCGAGGCTTATTGCTCGTAGACTTTATTCGATATATTGTTAGCATTACCCGGGGTGCACCACATGGAGGTCATATATCTTGCATTTTGAATTTTAATTTAGGTCCCATGTTCTGTGATCGAATGGAGAGCGCCAGCCAGCCTGGCTCCAGCCGAGTCAGAAACAGAACACGGCACCGATGTCTGGCGGTGGACAGTACCTGTCCGTGTCCAGCGTAATTTATTGGCACAGTAGTCGAACGATGCCGCCGGACACTGACCGGTGGCGATGTTGATTCTAACGTGGCCACGCCTACAGCCATCCGTTCGTATTTTTGTCATACCCTCAGGCCTCAGTAAAGAAGTTTCATCAAAAATGATGAGTCCGAAAATATTACCTCCATAGAAAATTTGCTCGGCACGAATTCCGATCTCGACCTACCTCCAAGGTTAACTACTAAATTAGACTGTTAGTGACAAGAGAATTTTTGATAATTAGGAAAAATTTGAAAAAAAAAATAAACGTCGTCGTGCACTACCAACGCGCATGTGATCAAACTCTATTCATAATAAGAAACACAGTGCTCATGGGTGTGGCTTTTGTTCCATAGTAGTTCCTGACGCGTCACCGTAGTGGGGACGAATCTGGCCATATGTTTGACCGCCACCGACGAAAACTAGTCGCCGCTGACTGTGTTTCTTATTCTCAATAGAGTATAGTGTACAATACGTTTTAAGTTGACAGTTCACTTTTTTTTTACTGATCAGTGGTCGACGATGAACTAATGTGACACTCTCGCCTGCAGCTTGTTCGAAGTCCGTGCTCGTTATGAAGCCACGCCCTTCAGCGCACGCGTTGGCCTACCGTTAGGTATACGATCCTCAAGCGCCTTATTAGCGTGTTGTTCGAGCGTTTCATTCTGATCAGTTGATTATATGACTAAATATTTTTGTCATACCCTCTGTAAAGAAGTTTCACTTCAAAAAATTGTAAAGAATTTACATTTATACAAATTACAGTTATCTACTAAAAGCGAGGTCAATGAGCTAGAAAAGCCCTCTAAACTATCGTATTAAAAATAAAAACATAAAAATAAATTGAGATACATGAATTAATTTTTTTGTGTGAGCAAACTGGCTTCCCAAGGCTTTGCAGGGTAGGAATAAAAAATCAAAATACTAGTTAAATAATAAACTCGATTTACGAATTACTTATAACGTATGAATGGACAAGGGACACCTTGAAACAATAATACGGTGTTCATTTAATTAATCACGCAATGTTTTGGAGTTAGAATTTTTAATAAAATATTTATTATAATAAATAAATTGTATATATTGTATTATTATTGGTAATGTATTATTAATGTATACAATATTAAAAAAGGTTAAATTTACCTTTAATATCATAAAAATCAATGCTTATAGTTATACTTATATATCTATTTAGGTACTTATAGACTTTAAAATAAGGATGTAACAAAATTAAGTGTTTGTTAATAACAATTTCCTTACCAGTTAATGTAATAGATGTATTTAAAAAATCTATAACATTTTAAAATTATTAAAACAAAATTATATAAAACAATGCTTGAGTATGTGTCATAAATTGGTTAGTTGAATAGTTTACTACCACCTCTCTCAAGATCCAACATGGGCAACTAAATCTTACTAAAGATTTTACATATTATGGTATTTTTAAGATATTTCCTAATACCTAGCGCCTAACTGTAATAATTTATAAATATGACGAGTCGACTTTCAAGAGGAAATAAACGATAATAAAATATTGATTCGGAATTTATTGTTTTCGTGACATATTCACTTTGGATAATGGCCATTATAATACCTACCGTAAATTAAGAACACGTATTCAATATAGGTACATCTTTTTTTTTTTAACTATGGCCTATTTAGGAGCATACAACAAATCCTCCAACTATTTAAATCTAATGCCGGATACTTCCAATTTGTTTTCTTCCCCTAATGCTTAACTCCTCCTTTCACAGTAGTGGGGGATACATTTTAGATTTTACCGAGGACCTTTTTATTTCTAGAATATATTTCATCAAATATCTTAGTAATGTCTCCTCATTTTAAGTCTAGCCCAGTACAATTTACTATCATGATAGTATCTACAATTATGTTTTCATTGTATATTGCTTTCGACTCTATAAGGTTTTCTTCTTGGTCCAGCTTCTTGTTATACCAAACGTATTTCATCAACTCAACATTTTCCATAATATGTTTCTTATGAATTTATTTTGAAACGATTTTTTTCGTCTGTAGGTTTCACACCAGAAAAATATTTTTTTGTACGAAAATAAAATTTTTTACATCATAACTATTAAAAGATTCTATATGATTACTAATTAAAAACATTACCTTTACAGAGCCCTGAAAAAATTTTTTTCTTGTATATTTACTACAAATTAGGTAAACTATTAAATATATTTAAACATCTGTCTGTTTATTTTGTAAACCTAAGTCATTCAATTTTAAAGAATTTCTAAACAACTATCTATTATATTAATTAACTTCAACACCGATGTAAGAAAACAAATTAAGTTCTTATTGATATTATTAGTTGAATGTTGCTTGGTGAAACAAAAATCAAACTGAAATAATTCAAACAAATTTTGTGAGTTTACATATTATTATACTTCGCCAGATATACTAGAATAAGCTTATACAAATAAAATTTAAGAATATTTTATACTTTTTAAAACATCGCTAGGCATAATAATTTTATTAATTATATCATATTATGTTAACCTGAAAAGTGAGAAATTGTGTATGTTCTGTTTGTCTCTATAGATTATCATATTATTAACATGAAAATAGTTTTGATATTTGAATTTATTTAAGTATTATAAAACTTGAATTTAAAAAATATTAAGATTATAACACTCATATTATTATCATTGTAAATCAATAAATTAATCCTTACCATTTAATTTTCCTATATCTGGTTCAGTAGCCGCAGGGATAACCCAAACTGAAATTGCTAAAAATGCAAGCTTTATTAAATATTGGTTATTAAAAATCATTTTTATTTAATATTTTAATATGAGAAAATAATAAAAATAATTTGAACATCGAACAACAAATGAAATAGAATACTACTTCTCGATTTATTCTATTAGCAATATGTTCCTAATCCACACTCCCAAGGTACAAAGTAAATAATGTGCACGACAAGTTGTTTATTTAGTATGTAACCAGCAATATAATATAATAAGAGAATGGTACTTTTCACTATTTGTTAGTGAACACCTTATGTATTATTCTTCATATTATCACTTGAGTAAATAATTCGATCGAAAAATTAAATATGGCATAGATGGTCAATAGGTACCTTGAACACAGGTTTTAAGTTATTCCGCTTTGCAACTTCAATATACAACTAAAAAAATGTGCTAGTAATATTACATTAGATACAAAATACTAGTTAGAAACATGGTGAAATACATAATTATCATAATATCATACTTAGGTATCCTATTATAATATTATAAACGCGAAAGTTTGTGACTTTGTTACTCTTTCACGTAAAAACTACTGAACCGATCTTGATGACATTTTTACACTGTGTGTATTTTGGTTCAAATTAAAACATAGGCTAATTTAAAAAGGGAGTGGACCAACCCCGGGAGGTGCTCAAAAGGGAATTTTGAGATTTCAGATGGAAATTTTTGTTTATAAATGGTTGCCATGGGTTTAATGATAATAATAATAAAAAGAAATATTTGCTTTACTTTTTAAATATAAATTATATTAAATGGGATTAAATAAATTGATTATTTTAATCAACTGTAGGTGTAATTAAGTAAGAACGACAAACTTGGTATAACTTTGATACTTTAAATATTTGAGTTAAATCATACACTTACATACAAACAGCACGGGGTCCGCGATCTACCGTAGGTAGATTCCCTACCTGATATTGTACTGCTGCTATTCAGAATTTTTATTCCTGGCAACGGAAAAGATAAGATAAATTTTGAACACCATACACCGAATATTAAATAACGAATTGAACAAAGCTTGTGTGATAAAGAGTTGATACATTTAACGGGCAATGAAGTGCACGGGATCAGCTAGAATCAATATAATGTTGTGCTTCATATACTGATATACGTCATACGTGATATGCCGAAGAAAAATACCATCTACATATAGCTTGAATATCAAAATTATATTAAATTATATACAAAGACCAATAGAGTATAGAGTATAGGACATAATTTGCACCCCTAAAAAAATTGTGCCACAACTCAAAAAATACGTTTTTCGAGTTATTACCATCAAAATTTGCAGAATTTCATCCTTTATATTTTAGTATGCTTGACATTTTTGATTTTTATAATATTAAAGACAGTATCAGCTCAAATGTCTTTTTTCTGCTTCAAATAAATTATAGTTTATTAGTTTCCAGCTGGAATACCAACACTTATTAGATGTGACTTTATTCTGGCCTGACTAATGTTGTTACACAATATTTTTCTAGCCGGAATAAAGTCATAGTCATTAAACACTCAGTTCAATTGGGCACATTACATGGTCATAGTTATAGTAAAAAATATGCATATAACATATAGGTAGTTTGAGTAAAAATGAATTCAACTAAATTGTGTTCAGTTCATTTAGGATTGCATTTTATGATTAAAGTTAGAAAACAACGCGCTTTTGGGTATACACCTTTTTTTCAGTTATATTATTATATAATATTGATGCTCAAGTGATGTACGACCTTTTAAACGATCGATGCGCAAACGATGTATAACCCAAAAATCAAACGATGCGCAACTGTCTTACAAAAAAGGTCAAAAATAACAATAGTAATGCGCAAACGATAACCGACGATCTCCAACCAGGCACTTACACAATAAAAAATTCAGGGCCACGAATATTGAATGTCCCCCTCCCGTTTATAGCTTAAATATGTAAAGAATTTACAAAACTATTAATTTTTTGTGAGGAGGGGATTGGGTTGAACCCCAAAAACTCTATCCTGCATACCCACCTATCCCCAGCTAAATCCATGAATAAATATGGTGAATGACTATAGCATAAACATAGTAACATACAATATGATAAACTTATAACGGTATAACCATTTTATAATAGGTAGGTACATCCGATATCTAATCATTATACTAATTCGCAGAACAGACAAGTTACAAAAAATACTAGTTAAATATTTGTTTGCAAAATGTGTTTAATTTCATTAAATACACTAAATAATTTAAATGAACACAAAAATTATTGTTATAGGTAACAATAAAGCTGCTAAAATAAAACTACCTGTACATTTGATTAA